GGCAATGATCTCAAGGGCGCTGAGCACCAGCGCGTCGCCCTCCAGGAGCCGCCGCGGGCGCGTCGTCAGCGCGCGGCTGTATTCCGTGCAGACGGGGCTGGCCCAAACCATGTCGAAGTGCTCCGGCGGAAACGTCGTGTAGCCCAGCTCCAGATGTCGCAGAGGATTGTGGGCCAAATTTCGACCAAGTAGTTTAGAATACTGCCGAATCAAGTAAAACGAAGAAAAGAAACTTTATGAATAATTAAAATCTCAATATTTCCAATAATATGAATTTATTAGACTTATTTTCAGGCACAGGTTCAGTTGGAACGATTGCGAAGTCATTAGGTTTTAACGTAACATCATTGGATTTGAAAAATGCTGATATTAGTTGTGATATTTTGGAATGGGATTATAAACAGTTTGATAAATCACACTTCTCATTTATCTAGGCATCACCTCCACACACCGTTTTTGGTGTGTCCATACACCGTTTTTGGTGTGTCCATACACCGTTTTTGGTGTGCCGTGCCCCGCGGGCTCGATTCCTGCCACGAGCGCAGTTGAGTACCATTCAGTCCGAATTCCGGAAAACTCTTGGACTTCGGACAAGTTTCCCAAACCGCGTGTCGCGGGGTGACACAGTCCGTGGGTGGCCTTGAAAGCACAAGCAACACTTGTGCTTTTCACGACCTCGGTGGAAGAGCGAAGTCGGAGGGGTCCGCTCGGCCCGAAATTCATCGCCTTCAATGGCCCTCGGCCTCGAGTTCATCGCCTCCCTCGGCCCGAAGGTTTATTGCCTTGAAAAGGAGGTTTTTTCGAGTTCATCGCCCCCCGCCGCACTACTGCCGGCCCACTGCCTTCCCACTGCCGGGCCACTGCCTTCCCACAGCCGGGCCACTCCTCCGCACTGTGCGTTCCCCACTGCCTCTCCACTGCCGGGCCATTGGGGCGCAAAGGAGTGGCGTGTGAAACATTGGGGCGCGGAGCCTTGGGGCGAAGCATTGGGGCGAAGCATTGGAGCGAAGCACTGGGACGAAGCATGAGAAGCCTCAAGGCCGGCAGGGCGGCTTCGCTCGGAAGCAAGGCCGGCTGGGCGGCTTTGCTTGGAAAGCAAGGCCGGCGATGTTTTTTTTTGCTAAAAACCATGCAACGGAAGCTCCGTCAACAATATCCTCTTGTCGATGCAAGCACGCGATCGGCACGCATTCGGACCCCGGCAGTGGCCCGGCGATGGCCCGGCGCACCCACAGATGATCGCGGCATGTGGATGGTTTTTTGCTGAAAACCAGAAGCTCTGGAAGGGATACCGCTCTGTCGCTCCCAGAAAAAAACGCACACTTGGCACACGTTTTTTGGTGCACAGCGATGGCCCGGCAGTGGCCCGGCAGTGGCCCGGCAGTGGCCCGGCAGTGGCCCGGCGGTGGGCTTTTTGAGCAAAATTGGAAGCTTGGAGCGAAGTCGGAGTTCCGTCGGTGGGAGAGCGAAGTCGGAATTCCAACCTCGGTGGGAGAGCGAAGTCGGAATTCCGACCTCGGTGGAAGAATTCTTCGGTCTCCACACTCCCCGCTCTTTTGAGAATCTGACTGACCGTAATTTTTTCAGAGGTGGTCCTCCTAAAAGGACAACCTGCCAAATTTTCTCTTCCCCGGCACTTCCAGGCACACTCCCCCCGAACAGAGCAGGCACTCCCTAACTCTCCAGGCACACTCCTCCGAGCACGCTCCCCCAGGCACACAGCGGGCACACTCCGGGATTGGCTTGGAACTCCGGGTGAGGCCTGTCAAGCTTGTCAAGTTTGTCAAGTTTGTCCGTCAAATCCGGCTTTTCGTGGCCATTTTGGAACTTTTAGTCATCTTCCAAGCCGGCTTAGCCATTTACAGGCCTTTTCACGGTTTTCAGGCCACTTGACAGACAGCCCGAAATCCCGGAGCAGCGGACTGCGGCGCGGCTCGGCAGGCTGGCGTTGACGCTTCGATACAAGGCTGACCGTATGATCATACTGGCGTTGAGGCTTCGATACCAGGCCAGTGTTAAATCAATATTGAGTCAATATTGAGGCAAGATTGAATCAATATAAAGTCATCTTGAATCAATAATGGATCCCAGCTCTGAGAAGCAATGTCTGCAGGATGTGACATGCCCAGCACAAGCCCACGAGAATCTTAACCCGTCAAACCAATGCTAGCCTCTCCAAGTTCAGCCGCACTGCTTCCAGCACTCGCCCGTCCAACCAATTGCGCAGCCTTGCAGACTCCAAGCTCTGCAGCTGCCGACGCTGTGCAGCGGCCGACAAAGTCGGTGGCCGTGACCTTGGTTTGCAGAAGCATGGAACATGATTCGAGCGAGGTTAGATCCGCGTGGCCTGCCTTACCAAGCCTGCCTAGCCAGTTACTCTCTTGTGAAACTTTTCAGGCGCAAACAAGCGTGTTCTGGCTTTGCAGCGCAAGCACACAGCGTGGCAAGGTGCCCACGCTGGAGGGTGCACCCTGGGCAAGGCGAGGGCAGGCGTGCCCAAGCCTAGGCTCGAGGCTGCAGTGTGAAAGGCAAAGCAGGGTGGTTTCAATCGCAACAAACGGTTTGAGTCCAAGGCTAGAAGCAAAATGGCCACAGCCCTAAACACAAGGGAAAAAGAAAACCCGAAGTGTTAAGGCCGTTGCACTGCTCCAAACCTTGCATCAAAAAACCCCGCAAATTCAAAAGACGCGCACTCAGGAGAAAGCATTGTTCCCCTCTTCAGTGTTTCCAAGCAACGCTGAGCCAGCTGAGCAGCCGACCATACCCCCCATTCAGAGCGGGGTTGCGCCTGACAGGGCGAATGCGCACATTGTTCGGAAACTGTTTGAGATGCATGGTGGCATGCTCAAATCAGCTCTTTTAGCGCGCAGAGTTTGGTGATAAACTCTTTGATGCGGCAGCCAGGTGTTCTGGCCGCCGCGGCGCATCGATGGGGCACCGAGTGACCCTTTCCAGCCTGAGCAAGGCTGCGATTAAAGCGCACGGTCTGCAGGGCGGTTTATGAAACGGTTAAGGCGTCCTTGGCTGAGGTTGTCTGCTCAGTCGTTTAGACGTCCGAGCACAAAGAAGTGCAACAGGCCTTAACCCAAGAGATGCGAGCGGCACACCTGTGTGCGAGCAGGCGGTCAAGCCGGCTCAGGCGCGCACGCGGTGCAATCGTGATGGAGCACCTGCGGGCGAGGATCAAAACTTGCAAATGGCGGCGCGAAGCAACTGCGGTGCTTCCCTCCAAGGCGCGCGCTGCGGTGCGGCCGAGATCGCCTTAAATGCTTGCGCAACATGCTGCAAAGGGGAAAAATGTGCAGTGAGGCCAGTATGCCGCCCACGAGTGAAGGTCGGCGTCAAAGGGGGGCCCTGTGGCATAAAAGCAAAGCAAGCTAGCCTGATGTGAGTTGCCATGCCAGTCCTGAAAGACTGAATGTCACTGTGACCTTGAAGCACAGAAGCTGTGGCAAGGACGCAAGACAAGGCAGAATCTTATTGAATCGAGGCACTAACAAGAAGCTCCAATGCGAAACAAATCCAAGATGTGTGCAACAGGGCTGCTTTCGGAGGCCAAGATAGGCACGTGCAATCTCTACAAAAAAGGCATATTGGTGCGAGGCTTATGCGTATCAACGCGAAGGCATGCAAAAGGCGGCCATCATCCTGCTCGGCGAGCGGGCTAGTGTAAAATGCGTCAATTTCGCAAGAAAATCCGGTAAAATACAACATTTTACTGACCCGGACGAAAAAGGAAAAAAATCCTAAAAAAGTCCGAAAAAGAACCCAAAATAGAGCCGCACCCCTTTTGGCCTCTTCTGCAATCGGCTCATGTATGAACGAAACCTTTACTCACTCTTGAACAAATGCCGGTTTGCTCAGTCGTTCAACATGGACTTCTCAAGCCTTGGAAGGTTGTTTGCGCAAAGGTGTGCAACATGTTTGGTTGGGGGTCAAAGCACCACAGGCAAGTTCCTGGTTGCAAAAGAGCGCAACGAGTCCGGCGGAAGACCCGTTGTGGTGATTTGGGCCATGGTCCAAAACGGCGAAAACATATTTTTTGAATTGTAGAGTCGGGGCCAACTAGAGTGTTTTGTCGTTGCGTTTTGCTCTCTGTCAACCACAACAGGGTGGACATTCATTCCGGCTCCAGCTGCCCGAGGTGAGGTTTTGTTGAGTTATGTTGCAGAATAAACACGATTGTTTTTGTGATTATATGCGTTTTTACCCATAGTTTTATTCGTGGCTTAATTGAGATTCACACTTGCATGCCCAATGCTCATCAGCAGTGTTCAGTTTTGAACGGTGGCAACAGCTGGATGCTTCAATTTGGCAATGGCGACCACCTATTCTGATGCTGTCAATGTCAAGCTAATATGGTTGGCAAAACACGTGTGGCAGTGTGCTTGTGTCTTTTGTTGCCAACAGTTCGCGGGCGATGAGGAATTTGATGTTTGTTTTTTTGTATGTTGTAGAGGGCTTCCACACATTTTGTAGATTTGGTCCCTGAACAATACCACATGCCCTGGTCATTGTATGTACATGCTGAACTTGGATTCGCAAAGAAGCTCAGTATTGCTGCTCGAGCTTACAAGACCTATCCGGCCAGCCGGAGGGAAGGACGTGGAACACGTCAGGCTCCTTGGTAGCAGTGGTGAAGGGCGCTGGCATGCGAAGCGAAGAATGTTGAAGGTTTAATCTTGACATTCACATGCATTCAGTAGTCGTTCAGATGTGATGCTTGAGGCATGGTTCTCCGTGCGGCCTTGAGACGCCTGAGCTCAACACCCGTCACAGCCATAACTGCTCAGGGTTGATAGTCACGTGGATGCGTCTTTTTTTGATGTCACCCTTTTCTTGGTGGTTTAAAGGACAACAGGAAAACCACCATTTTGGGACCCCTACAGAAAGACACACCCATGCTTTGGAGCGTGAGAGAGCAATTGGAAGGCGATGCACCTCCAGTTAGTTGGCGCATTCTAGGTGCCTCTTGGCTTGGAAAGCCAGCAAGTCGCCTTCCGCGAGTCCGCACGCAGCTTCTTCAAGCAGGCCTTGTCAGACGGTCAGACGCGTTGATCTCACAGGCTCCATGAAGGTTCAGTTGACAAGGGTACTTCTCTGGAAGCTGGACAGATCCAGAAGATTCTTCCGATTCATTCATCTTTCCCCACCTGGCATGGAAACTGACCAGCTTTCGGCTCGACCGCGCGGTGCTTTCCAGCTGACGCCCTTGGGACAGGCAGGAAGCAGGGTTTTTCTTGATGTGCATGTGCATGAGTAGTGCCGAGCAGCGAAGCTTGTTGTGAGCAGTTGGGCGGTTTCTGCATCTAAGATCCTTATACTTCGCAAATGAGGAGCATCTCTTTGGGGAGGGGGGGGGGGTTGAGCTGAGAAAACCTGGATCTTAAATGATTTCACTATCAGCATCTGTTTGCCCGCTCCAGGATGAAGCTTTTGAAAGTCGCGGCCTTCGGCTTCCTCGCGGCAGCCCAGGATGATGCCTGCCATTCGGCCCACAAGGCGCGTCGGCAGAGCAGGCACGCCGTTCTCTTGTCCGCAACTTAGGAGACTGTAAGGCTCATGTGCTTGTGCCCCATCGCAGATTCTTCATATGGACCAATCAGTCAATTTTGGTTTTGCGCAATGCAGGGAAAACAACAACCTGCTTACAGAACATATATTCATGGTCCGTGATACGCACAGTTGGACCCTGGCACCTTCCGTTTCCGTGCAGGCCCAGGCGGACTGCGCAGCGGACTCCAAGTGCTCTTGGTGCGAGGCGCGCCGGTTTCCGTCTTTCTTTTTGGTCTCAACGTTTCAGCTGGAATGCCTGGTGCCCAGGCGTCGGCTGTGCCCAGCGCGTGCTACACCAAGGAAAACGTGGCAGCCTCAGCCGAGAGTTCGTTAGGTGCCAAGCGGTAAGAGTTGCGGCAATTCGCGTGGCACATGGCACCAGCCTTCATGCATGTCTGCTGACCCGCCGGCAAGGCCTGTCCATGTGCATCGGGAGTCCTAGTAAACGTGTGCCAATTTGTGTAGTACCCCTTTTCATACCAGACAATCCCTTGTTGGCTACATGCCCAGCGGGCTGAGCAATTCCATGGCGTGCCGAGGCAGCCAAGCTCCCCTCCGCAGTCTTTACCTGCTCTACCCGCCGCCGCTCCGAGTTGCTGTCTCAGGAGGAGGCGCGGGTGAGTTGAACCATGGCCAGGCAGCAAAGTTTTAGAATTTCTGGTCGTGCCTGGCTGGTGTGCTTTTTGGTTGAGCTTGCAAACATGCCTAACACCGAGGCGTCAATGGACGCCTGTACCTACAGTTTGCAAGATGCAGCTATGGTAGTTGCATGTTTGTTTTTTGCCACCTTTGTTCCAGGCAGAGAAGCTCGGTGTGGTGTGGCGTGGCAACTCCTCCAAGCAGAGTGTTGGACTGAGTGAGCTTTATAAAGTCAAGGTGGGTCTTGCTGCTGCAGCTTGGTGGTCTCTGCCACCCAAACAGACCCTGTGCTGCATGAGATGTGGGGCCAGCGTACGCTATAGCATTACGTGCCCAGAGAGGACTTGATGCATGCTTGGCACCCGAGGCTCTCACGACCTGTTGCAGGCACAAGCGGAGAGTTTGCATTGTTTTCCTGCCTTGACTTCGAGAAGAAAGTGGGATATTACACATCCGGCAAGGCTTGCAAGGGACTGTCAAAAAGCAGAAATTGGTGCGGGGATCAAGAAGCCCTTTGAATCCTTTACCAGGGGTTTTGGGTCTACACATGTACCATTGGCACTACCATGAAAGCCTTTTGCTTCACGGGTTTCAAATGTGGTTCACAGTTTTTGGGCGTGGGTCCCTCACAAACAGGCATCCAACATTTTGAGCCCTGGCAAATGGAGAAAAGGAAGAAGGGCAGACACACCTGCGTTTTTTTTCTTCTTCTTTTCCTGGCGGTTTCATTTTGACTCATGAGAAAGCGTGGCCCCTTCGCCAGGCTCAGGAGATGCCCAAGGACTTCACCTGGTGCAACAAGGACGGCAAGCCGGGGCCCCAGGCCGCCGGAACGGATTCGAATGTTGTCACCGGCTTGTTCCGTGGATCAAGTTTTGTGCAGCTGTCCTGAACCACTCAGGAGCTACTGCACCATGTCTCGCAACCAGCACATCCCACAGGAGCCGGTGTTGCTCTCGGGCTTGCCATGCTTGGCAGCTGAAAAGAGGCGACAGTCTGACAGTTGAGAACAATGAGAGAGTTAATGATGCTTTCCCAATTTGGGTCCTTCATGCCTTCGGATCAAAGGGGAAGAAAGCTTCGGGTTTTCATGGTCCATGGAAGGAGTCAGGTCTTACAGGGCTCCTTAACAGATACGTTTTGCCCAATTGAAACATGCCTTTTTCCACCAAACTAAAGGGACACCACCATTTACAAGGCAATGTTCAGGTGTACAATGTAAGGATCCCTGTCTTATGTAGTGTGGGCTGGGTAAGCCAGTATTATAAATATTGAACTAGTTACGTGGTGCGGCAAGGCGTAGGGCTTTTCGAGTTCCAAACTAGCTATTCCTCGGAGAAGCCGGAGACCACCGACCAATGCGTCTTTACAGCAGGATTTTTCCAAGCCAAGAGTTAGACGCCACTGGCCTTTTGATTGGGCCCACCGGTTTTGTGCATTTGGCACTTTTCTTGGCATGCACCCAGCTGTTGGAAGATGGGAACGGGGCGCAAGACGTCCCCTGTGCAGTACTGCGGCTCGTGCTGGGCACATGGAGCGATCTCTGCGCTCGGGGACCGCATTAAGATCGCCCGCGGGGCTGCAGGGGTGGACATCAACCTGGCGGCGCCGTGGAGAGACAAGGACGTATGGTTGCGGCGCTGAATAAACGGGAAAGGGACGGCTGGACCTTGTCGTGATCACGAATTGGCAACCACCGTAGAAGGAAAATGCGCAGAAAACCATTGGTCTGGTCGGTTATGGGCGTTTAATGTTTGCGCGTGCGTACTTTTCCGATCATCCTACACGGGATCGCGAAAGGCGCCAAACTTTGCATTCGGGCCTGATCTTTCGGCGACCCATCTTCGACATGTCTTCAAGGGCATACCATGCGACACGTCGTTTTTCTTTGCGGTTGGTTCGATTTTCGCAATGCTCAAAGGTGCAGCACCTGCTGAACTGCGGGGGTGTGGGCAGCTGCAAAGGCGGCACCGTGGACGGGCCCTACCAGTGGCTGAAGGCATTGCGTGACATGGAACCTACAGCTTTAACTCCAACGAGCGGAGGTTTCAACCATAGGGACCCCCCTGCCAATGCGCCGAGAACTTAACAAGCCATTTAGAAGTTGATCAAAAGGTCTTTTACAGGCGGAAACCACAAATATAATATTTATATATGAGTTTACATATATATATATATGTATATATATATATATCATATTTCCCACCAAATGGGGGAAGTTACCCATGGTCATGTGGGCCCTTGAACGGAATCTTGTTCAACCCCCCTTTAAACGCGGCCGCCGCCACGCCCCGTCTCCTTCAGGGCCTCTCGGAGAAGGGCACCGGCATCAGCTGCTATGGCGAACGAGGGCTCTCCACGGTTTGTCATGAGTGGAGGGCAAGGGCAGAAGGTGATTGGAGTGAACTTCTCTGATGAAAGACGCCCTGTTCTCCCGAACTTTGTGGACCTTAAGGGGGGCGGGGGTTTGCTAATCAAGTTGCACCATTAACTGCTCTGATTAAAAACACACAGTTTTCTCAAACTTTGTGGACCTTGGGAAGGGAGTTTACAAAATCAAGCTTCACCAGTACAAGGGAGGTGCCCTTGCAATTTATTGGCATGCCCGTCATGCACACGAGCAAGGATTTGTTTTATGGCGTTTCGGAGCGCACGAAGCGACACTTTTGGGTTTTGCTCAGTCCTGTTGACGTTGCCGAGGCTACGAGACTTCCAACCCTTATGTGGCCTGCTCTTCCGACTCCACAGAGGGCTTCTGCTCGCATGTGGACACTTCCTGCAAGGCCTTGGTGTGTGCTGAAGGGCGAGCCAACACAGCCTTTGATCGGCTTTCTACATCAGGACTTGAACCAAAATTGTTGCCGCAACAGGACAGCGGACGGCCTGGCAGCCCTTCGGGAGGGGGTGGGGGGGATGAGGAGGGTTGCACCGGCAGGCCGTGAACATCGCCCGCACCTGCGGCAGCTTCTCCCAGGAGGGCGGCCCCTGCAGCTCGGATTTGCCATCAAACGAGCGGTGGGTTGTGGCGGGCTTCGTGAGCCTATTTCAGTTTCGTTCGTTGTTGCAGTGTCTCATTTTTGTGCTGCCTGTGTTGCACTGTGGACGAAGTGTGATTGTTGGTTGTTGGGGAGCGGGTGCTATGAGTGGTTGCTCCATTTAGCAGCCATTTTGTCGAAATGATGAATCATGCACTGCTTATCCCAATTCTGCTGCAGCTGACATGCAATAAGAATCGAACCGCACCGCATTCATTCAGGCAGTGTTCAATTGGCAAGGCCAAGCCACCCACGATGCTTTTAACGTGGAGCAACTGCACGTGCTAGATTTGTTTTGGGTGCTCGGCCTTTTCTGCATCTCTGACCTTCTATGAACAGGATGCATTCTGAGATCATATGCAAACAACCGAACCTTTTCCCCGCATTGACAACTCCCTGCGAAATCTAAGCTTCCGCGAAGGGTGGAATAGGGGACCGCAGGTTCTAGTCTTTGTTGCCATTTACCAGGGTTCCATTCTGGGTACTTATTTTTGACCCACACCTACATAGAATGGTCACTGGAGCACTGGCACGGGGTCATAGTTTGGTGCAAGGCACGGGTCTCTCGTCCTACCCCAATGCCACGATCACGGACTACGGCTCCATCAGCGGTGCCCTGGACCAAGAGGCTTTCGGCTCTCCGATTTTGCTCCCTGAGCCCTTCCTCCCATTGCCCCTGCCCGGGCAGTAGATGGTGGGCCCAAGGGGGGGGTGTGGGGGACTGGGCTCTGGAAGTGAGGCGCTGATGCCATGATGAAGGAGATCTTCCACCGTGGTCCCATCTCCTGTGGTGTGGATGCCAACCCCCTGCTGAACTACGAGTCAGGCAGCTCGGCTGTGCGGAAGGCAACATGATGTTTCTGTCGACTGAATCTCGAGCTGACCATGCCTCAAGGCATCATGAAGGACAAGGGCGAGGGCGTTGACCATGTAGTCTCCGTTGTGGGCTGGGGCACTGACCCCAAGGCAGGCATGGCGAAAGTCCAGTGGGACACCTTTAGCTGTCCAAGATGGTTGCCAGCAGGATGGCTTCTACTGGATCGTCCGCAACTCCTGGGGTGAGTTCTGGGGCGAGATGGGATACTTCAGGCCAGGGGCGAGCTTAAGTGCGGCAGTCAACGCAGTCGTGAGTTTTTTTTTGGGGGGCCATATTTTCGTGAGTTTCCATGTCAAGCATGTCCATTAAGGGGGCAGACGTCCACTCGTTGTGACCAGTTCGCCAGGGTGGCCAAGGGGGCCTTGATGTTGGAGGATCAGTGCGCCTGGGCTGTGCCCGCCGGCTTCACTGCTGCAGAGAAGGACAACCAGGCCCAAAGTGTGAGGGGCGGGGCCGGCTGGGGTGGGAGGTTGGGTCTGGGCAAGGTCAGGAGACCTTTCAAATGCTCGTTTTGGATTCGCTTGGGCGAAGATTTGCTTGGTGGCACTTTTGGTGGCTGACGCTAAACGCCTCCAGATGCGGTTGTAAAGTGTGGTGGAGGGTCCCAATTTGACCATGTGGCTGTGGGTCAAAACCAATGGTACCATTTTGGGGTAGGTGCACCACCCGTTTTGGTCTATTTTAGTTGGAATTGGGATGTCCACTGGGGGTACGGGCTTTTGACCCATGGCCATGTTGCACTTAGAGTCATTATGAGTTGAAGAAAGGCCGCGGCTGTACCACTTTAATGTTGAGTCTCGAGTCAATTGTCAGGTGCACTGCCACGAGGGCGGCGACAACTGCAAGCCGACAGAGCAGATCGTCGTTTGAGCTGCTTGGCAAGCAGGCATCGCCTGTCCATCATCAGGGAGCCCGTACGTGTGGTGTCAAGAAATACTGTTCGTGAACTGAACACATTTATCATATGTCCTCTCTCTGGGATATGAATTTCTATCAGTGGTCCATCACCTGAAAGGTCAGGCTTGACTTGTGTACCTTTGATTACAAGCAGAAAGAGGAAGCGCAAGGAGTCTCTAGCTGGACTGGGTGGACTCAAGCCAGAGGTCTGAAGCAGAACAAGAGGCCCGTATCATTGCCGAATCCTGGCGTGATCAAAGGTGCCGACCTTTGAAATGGCCGACCTCGACCTCTGAGCGCTTGATTTGCGCCGGGCAGACCTTTCCACCATGATTTGTCCGGGGCAGAGTCAAGGCGACAATCCTTGAGACTGAGTCTCCGAGACTCGCAGCGCCCAGCGCTTTTGAACTGGCAATTCGAGTTGGTAGCTGATGTTGGTCTGCTGCCGACGAAACATCCTTGCCCCGCTTGGGTGAAGTTTGTTTGCTTTGAGGGCGCGGCTTGGGAGTGTTTTGGGTCTAAGGGCTCGTTGACCACTTTGAGTAACAACAATAGGAATAGACACATGAGTCCCTTTCTTTTTTTGTCGCCACATCTAATATCTTTTCTATTGAACTGATGTGTTTGGGCAGGCTTGCTTTCATTTTGCTGCAGGTGGGAAGCTTCAAGCCTGGCCAGTACTTTGAGGAGAAGTACTTCTGGGAGAAGGCCAACGTCAGATTCCCAGTCGGGAGTGGGGCATTGTGTACTTTGCGACGGCTGTGGAACCTACTCAGCCAGACTGAATGCCTCACGTGGTCAAACAAGTTCGTGAAGTCGCTCAGGGCAGTCGAGGGTCGGCATGCCAAGGTGGGCCCTTTCTTCCTCCTCTTGTTCTTCACTCCCACCCTCTACCGCTCCTTCAAGGCAAAGATAGGCGGACATGGTGTCAGTGCCACGGCCAATGATCCTCAGGATTTCTACTGGACCCAGCAGCTGCGCAAGCTGAGCACGGAGGAGGTCATCAGCGACAGGTACGATTGGTTGCGCCAGCACCTGAGACCAACTGAGCTCCAGGCTGTCTGTTTGAGGCGTTTGAACAGGCCATGCGGCAAGTAGTTGTAACGCGGAAGCCCGCAGCCATGTAACTGCTCATGTTAATGATGTCGACCGGAGGCCCCAACTGGAACTTATGCTATACCTGCTTCCAACCAGTAGTATTCTCTATTGCGTTGGAGCGACAGCTTGAGTTGTCCTGCCCAGTTGCAACCTTCAGGACTGAACATGTTGCAGGACGAAGTGGAGGCAAGCTTGCTGAAGCAGGCGCCAGCAGCGTGGATGCTGCCCGAAACGCCAGAGATTCTAGTTCTAGGAGTTTGACTGCGTGAGAAGCCTCTCTCAAAGGTTTTCCTCATCCACCTCTCCCATTTTCTTGCATGTGGGGTCAAGCTTTTCCTCATCCACCTCTCTCATCTTCTTGCGTGTATTTGCATGTGGGGCGCCAGCAGGTTCAAGCACTCTTGAGAGAGCCGGCAGGTGCCTGCAGGTGGCATTAAGCCTTTGGAGCTCGGCCCATCCACGCCACCCTAGGTGGGTGGCTCGACGGTGTTGCCTGGGCTTTGCATTTGGGGGTTGATTAATATTTTTGGTCCCCCCAATGACCAAGGGTAGCCTTTGCCCATTTTGTGGGAAATAACATCTTTTCAGTGGTTGTCGTCAATGGTCATCCCATGAAAAGGACGTTTTGATCAACCCCAATGTCCAATTCCTTTGCTCCCATGCACAGGCATCTGGCGCCTCTGAGCGTGGCAAGGTTTTTGGAGGCAGGAGGAGTAGCGGTCGAATGCCTCTGCTTCTGCAGGGCAGTTCGTACAGTTGAATGGCCCCTTGGATTTGATCTGTGAAACAGCACAGGTGTTGACCGAGAGTTTTGTTGTAAGTTATGCAGTTTTTGTTCACAAAGATCGGTGGTTTGTCAGCTTGATTCATCGAGGCTGGTCTCGAATGGATAAAAAGTGCGGGTGCAAGCTACAGACTGTGAACTGGCCGTGAGAGGAACACAGAGGCTTGGAGAGTGTGCATTGGTTCTACTGCTGATCGAAGGACTGAAGGTCACATGGCAGAAATGCCTAGCGGCAACAAAAGCTACAAAGGGTATTGACGTTTCTGTAAGACGACCCGCTTTCTGCCAACCAGTCATGCATCCCAAGTCCTTCTTCCAGTTCCAGCCAGAAGTTGTGCTCTTCAACAGAACCGTCGACGGCTTGGGCGTCTGGACGACTGGACGACTAGACGACTGGACGACTGGACTCGAGTTCACTGATTCAAGGGTGCACATTGTTCCGTGAAAAGCGAATCGCAAAGTTGGCTCCCAGTTCTGCGCCCTGGCTCAGCCTGGCGCGCAACTTGGGCGCGTGCAGGCAGGGCCGCTGCTCGATCGCTGGGGCACTGGGGTCATGGCATGGAAGGGCGACTGGCCCAGGATGAACTCCTTGAGGCTTCAAGCAAGTAAACATGGCCTTGTGAAGTCCCGGCTCCATGGCTTGGAAAAAAAACAGCTCCACAAATGACTTGGAATGCTTCCGAAGATGCACCTTCCTGCCACCTTGATCTTGAAAGCGAAGGGGTTTGGGCTGCAGCTCAACTGTGTTCTGCGGCCTGGGCAAAGTGGCACCCCATTTTCACTGCATCAAGAGGGGCGCCTGGATGTGGGTCAAACTTGAGCCACCGGGATATGGACCGGTTCCAGTCCTGGGTTCCATTTAGAGCTCCATTTTGGGCACCTACTCTTGACCCACAGCCTAGGCAGAATTCAAGCTACTTCAAATAGTGGGCGATGGGAATCCAAACCGACTCGAGGGGAAGCTGTCCTTCCATGGTCCACAATGCAATGGGCCCTTGCGGGAATCCATGGAAGCGAACCCTTAGCCAAACACACACACACACACACAATTCCTGTGCCATCTCAGCGCCCAGAGCGGGATGATTTCGGCATATCAATGAGCATAGGAGCTTGAAGCGAATCACTGAGACCATACAATATGGAAGTAACCATGCGCCTCAGGCAGCCATGGAGAGATCGACCAGATCTTGGAAGGCACGGCTCAGTTTGCCAGGCGGCCAGAATCTTGACGTTCATGTTTTTGCAGTTTGGCGTTGATTCCCGTGTCAATCAAAAAGTTGGCCGGAGATTTGGCCAAAGCTTGTTCAAGCTGACTCATATCGGCTAGAAAGGTGGCTGCGTGGCCAATGGGAGCTTGTTTCGTTCCTCAGGCCGCCGCGGTGTTCCTCGGCCTCGGCTTGGCCATTTGGGGGCCCGCCCCAAGCTCGGAAGAGCCCCGGTGCCAGGTGGGGTTCGGTGAGGGAGTCAAGCTGTGGTCCAATGGCAGTTGCGTTTCAAGCACTTCAAAAGGTCCCCCCCAAACATTGTCACTCCCAAGTTTGCAAGTTTGATCTACATGTTCTGTCCATTTTGTTTTCCCCGGAACTCATGAGATCGGCACCCGGGGTGGTCTTGGCGGCTTGAGTGAGGCCTGGGTCAGCGGAGCTGTGCGCCAGGAACGCAGGCCGGAATCGTTACAAAGGCAAGACATTCATAGCAAGTAATGTGGCTGTGGGTCAAAACCAATGGTACAATTTTGAGGTTCAGTCTATGTGAGTGGGGATTGGGATGTTCACTGGGGTACGCGATTTTGACCAATGGCCATGTAAGTGTCGTGTGATTTGCGCTTGGAGAGGAAGGCTTCTTGGCCAAACCTGTTTCATTTCCGGAAGATCTCTCGGTTTTTCCCAGCCTCTGGCGCAGGCCGGAGCTCGTCGCCTGCCGCACGCAAGCTCGGCACGTCCAACTGCCGAATGTGGCGAACATCGAGGCGGGAGATGGAGATAGCCAGCTTCTGAACGCCCGAGAGATGTGGAGAGTGGGTCAAAATTAAACCACCAAGGGACCGCCTGTTTTAGTCATGAGTTCCATTTACCAGGGTTCCATTTTGGGTACCCATTTTTGACCCACAGCCGTGTGGAGAGTGCGTTAGTACCCTAAGATTCTGCTCAGCTGACAGGGAGAAGAGTTGCTGAGCGCTTTTTTTTTGTGGACAGGCTCGAAGGTCTTCAAAGGAGTGGAAGTTTGACGAGGACGCAGAGGGTCATGATGGGCGGATTGAGCTTGGCCATGCGACTTCAGTGAAAAGCAAAGTCTCACTGTCTGGGCTGTGAGCCAGGATGGGGGCATGTATGACATTATCAAGTACCCGCTGTTGACTGAGAAGGTGGGCTTGAGACGGTGAGTGGGCCGGCAGTTGCCTTGACTTCGGTTTGGATCAATCGAATTCAGGGCCGCATGTTTTCGCTATGGCTGTGAGGCGTGCCGCCTCCTGGAGAAGTACAACACTTACACCTTCCTGGTGGATCGAAAGGCCAACAAGCCACTTGGACTTGGGAAGCTCGAGGTGTGGGAGATGGGGCAACAAAGACTCCCTAAACTTCCAGGCTTCGTGCAATACAGGGAGGCATGATGAACGGGTGGATCCGCCGATCAGACACCGGCTTTGTTTCCAGCCGAAGGCTCATCAGATCTTCGGCGAACTTGAGTCTTATCGCCTGGTGCCTTTGGCACGAAGCCGAGGCCCCAGATTCGCGCAGCCATCGAGACCATCTTCGGCGTGAAGGCAAGACATGAAAAGGGACAAGGCGAAGGGTGAACTGGCAAACCACATGATTCCTGGCTTGTATTTCCTTTTATGTTTGGACCAGCTCTTGTGACTCCGCGCTGCCTTTTGGAGCTCGAAATTCCACTTGGAGTTGCTTCCGTCTCGGAAGTTGGTCTCAGGCTCACTCGCCGTCCCGCGGGACGGCCAGTCCCGACGGCCAGGTGTTGAAGTGCAACACCCTCATCCCCTCCTCCAGCTACACGATTGCGCCCTTCGCCTTGGCTGAAGGGCGCAAGGGGATGGGGATGGGAGCCAGAGCGGCTGGGGAGCTGGGCCTTTTTTCAATTCTTCTGTTTGCCAGATTTCGCTGGGTTGTGCTAGTCAAGCCAGGAATACCACGGTTCTCTCAAGTTGTTTGCAAATTGTACTGGAGCCACAGGACTTGTAACGTGAGACATTGCCCGCAAGTTCCCAAAAGTCAAGTGATAACCTGAGGTTTGGGCAGAAGATCGGCAGAAAGTCGCTCTACAAGAAAGCCTACTTGCAGCTCCAGGAGTGCGTTTCGGGTCAAAAGCGTCACTCCAACACCATGATCCAAGCAGAGCAACGGTATTGAGACCGGCATTTCCTTGCAGGAAGGGGACTCCATCGACCTCTTCCCAGACGATCCTGAAGCCATGTGAGCAGTGTCACTGGTCCGTAAAGATCCGCAAGCATACAAATTGCAACC